GGTTACGACACATTTATAAATAACGCGATCTAGCCCAAAAACCTTTTGTTATGAAATTGTGTTTGGCACAAAGCTGGGGGTGCTACGTGGTTTTCGGTCGTTTTGCAAGTCATAACATTGTGGTGTGTAGAGGTGAGGTGCCATGTGTGTGATTTGAAAACCGTCTCGTTTGTCGTGTCCTCGCAGATTTCTCTTGTGTACCGACTCGACCGTGCATCTCCTCTGCCAAGATGAGCGACCTCCATGCAGCCACCCTGAAGCTCCTGTCCATCTTCAATGAGCTCGCCCACGACAACGCTGTCAAAGATTGTCTGAAGAAGGAAAAGTTCAGGAGCTTCCTGAAGGGGGATAAGGGCAAGAGTCTGATCCAGGTGAGATGCCTATTTCATTTTCACATAGACGAGTCCATCCATTTATCGTCCCATTTTTATTTATTTGGGATCGTGCCTTTCCAATCTCCCCTTTCTGACCATGTACGCATACAGTCCACTGCTCCAAATGAGGGCGTTTCTCACTCGTTTGGTTTACACAAATGTTGCCAATATTGGCAGTGCGAGTTTAACCTGGGCGCATGCAAGGTGGGTTAAAAGCGTGTCGTAGAACCGTGAAATTCCTGCTCTAGTCATCTCCCTATGGCCTATAACGCCGGCTGTCCATGCAGTCGCCTGTCCCAACTGATATCATGCCTTGCTTAAAGGTCGAGCACAATATCATCTCAACCCATTTAGTTAACACTGCTTTTCGAGGAAAGGCGTGTTCAAGCGTACTCGTGGCACATACTCATTATCTTTGCATACTACATCGATGTGTATCGAATGTTCATAGGCTCCGGTTTCGGCAGGCATGTGGCGCAACTTCTGACCGTTTTTCAGTAATTTTTGAGTTTCATGCTCAATTTTCATCCCCTCCTAACCAATATTACATCTTCCACTCCTAAAGATAATCCTGTCCGACTCTGTAGTCTTGGGTAGTTCACCTGTGCCAAATCCCGTGTTTTAATCTCGTGTGCACATTTTTTATCCGCCATTTGCCTGAAGCATGCGTTTGTGGATGGTGCGAGGTGCATTGCGATACGTTTTCTCTATGCGCTGGGTTTGCTCTGCGTGTGCAACCGTTGTGAGCCTACCAAGCACCAGTTTTACTTGCTAAATATTTTGCCGATGTTCTGCAATCTGTCGCCTAAATCCAGGCGAACTCCTTGTCCTCTCCTTGCTGTTGTGCTTCCATTCAGAATCCCGTGGATGGGTTCGTGGTGAGCCGCATCCTGCGGGACCTTGGCGATGACAAAGATGGGCAAGTCGACTTCCTCGAGTTCGTGATCACCATCGCGGCCTTGAAATTCTGCTGCCACCCAAACTTCCGAGCGCACCACGAGCGGAATGGCAGGACCCACGCGCTGACCGCATTCAAAGAGTAACGCAGCTGTTTGAATGATACGGATACTATGAAATAAACATTATGATCGCATCAACGTTTCGTGCTTGTCATTTGGTACTCTGGTTATAGACAGTTCTGCAGTGGTCTCTATGCACTGCCGATTGCAATGGACAACTACCAATACTGAACATGCCACCAATACTGAACATGCCACCAATAGATTTCTTGCTTGCAGTTCTGTGGCTTGGTAACTGAAAAGGAAGCATACATTCATACCTCCAATTGGCCCTCCCTTTGCGTTTTCGTGGGCTAAATCGTTGAGTTGCAAGTGGTATGGGTTTCATTTGACTCGTTTAGCCTATCCTAAACAAACCAATGGTGTGGTATCACGTGATACATCAACTAGCCAAGTTTATTCTAGATTTGACGCTTTCGTGACTGCAAGGATTCTTACTCTTAGGTTTTTTTGGTTAAAGTCGTGTAGGTAAAAAAAATATGTAACAATAATAAAATGGCCACGTTACCCGGCTTCGCACGGGTCTCCGTACATAAAGGCTTGGGGGGGGGGGGGGGGCTAATTGAAAGCAGCTGAACCTTGCCACTGCAACAATATCCCTGTTGGTTCTACTATTCATGTCATTGCAGTAGCCATGTAAACAATAGAAACGAATGGATCAGAAGCGTAGACAAAGTGCGGGTAGTTGTGAATAAGCAGACTTTATCCAATAGGCTCCAGGGTTGGATGCTGTGTTTGCCGCAATTGCAGTGCTGTTTGTACGCTGCTTTGCCTATTGGTGGGCTTGAGGTTCACTCGCTGCAGCCATTGCAGTACTTGTAAAACGACATAAATTAGTGTAAACCAAGACCGTAATTATAATATACATTCCCCCCCCCCCCCCCCAATATTCAAATATGCTCAAAGTCCTCCCCAATATATTGCTGTAACAATTATAACCCGTAAAAACAAAGTTTTTCACTATAAAACGAGACGGTCTTCAAAATCACGCGCACGGCACCTCACTTTACGCACAATGTTACGAATCGCAAAACGACGGAACATCGTGGCACCCCAGCTTTGTTCCAAACACACTTTCATAACAAAGGTTTTTGGGTTAGATCGCGTTATTTATAAATGTGTTATAACCCTCCACCACCTGACAGCTAAACAGTAATAAGTATAACCAGTAAAAACATAGTTTTTCACTATAAATCCTTTATATGCGTGGCGGCTAGTCTTCTCGTCCTCTGGCTTGATGGCTGCCACCTATGGGTCAGATGATTGCATTGCACCATTAAGCAATTGGTAATTTAATATATTTTTGTCCTAAAAAGTGTACAATTTTGGAAAAGATTTTCACGAACATTAATTGTCTCGCACAACGAGTCTGGAAAATGTCAGTTCGTTGAATCACGGGAAGTGGGTTAAAAAAACGACCGAAAGATTTGCACGGTCGTAAGCAAGCAACCGAACTTAATATAAAGGATTTAAAAATGATATTATATGCAAATAAAAACAACAATTTGCTAAACCTTCGCCACTATCTGGACTTGTCTTCATAGAAATCAATGCGTAGATTTCTGTTTATATGATTGTGGTTATGGGTTGGACTTTATTAATCCACTAGCTGTACCACCTGGCTTCAGCCGGGACTTGGATCCACCACGCCCGGCCGCCTTTGTCTCCCCAGTGGCGATGTTCACACACCACACCAGTTACTCGTTTGAAGCCGAGTCGACCTAGGGGAGGCCTATGACCGGTTGAAATAATCGTCACGGGTGGTGGCCGTGAGCGGGAATCGAACTCGGGTCGCCGGGTTCGTAGCGCTGCGCGCTAACCACCACTACAATGAGTTACGCTTCCACATGCGCGGGTCACGTGACATTTGACATCACAGCTCACTTGCCGTGCAAAAAATATATGCATTATTGAGCTCCCCCCCCCCAAAAAAAATGTATATTTTTTTATAATTTTTACATGGTGTACAGTCTGGAAAGTACCCACATGGCAAATTTCAAGTTTGTTGCATGTCGGGAAGTACGCTAAACATTTGGAACGGACACACATTCACAAATTTCCCTTTTATATATATAGATAGATTGTCAACACCTTGTGTCTGTTGGTAAAATGTTTTTTTTTTTACAACCACAATATAACGCCACACATTTCCTGTGAACCTGCAACAGCCACGTTTCCACAACTGTTACCACAACATTGTGTAGGCATAGCCACCACTGCAACCAACATGCTTGTCATGGAAGGTAGTCTGGTGGTGTCTCCCACCAAATAATTTAACATGAACATTGGAACATTCATATTTTTGACAATTTATGCACGTTCATTTAAAGTTAAAATAAAAATAACTAATGTTAGCTGACGTTTCGCACAATTTCCCCACGCATATGTTTGGTGTTACGCATGCTTCCCTAAAACGTACCAAGCACGAGACAGATCACATGACTTCCGGGACCTGTGACCTTAACACGGTACAAGTCAACTTCATTCCTTTCATCCTGCAGGGCTGAATGAATACCTCACTCAAACCAGTTGTAATTAATATCCACTTATTGATGCATTCCTTGGCTCAACCCTCATTTCAACATGATTAGGGAAGCGCTTTTAAAATAATTTGAAGTGTTTGTATTATCTTAAGTCAATATCAAGTTACTTTGCGTGTATTTTTAGGCCTTGCAGTACAAGTCTAAGGAGTGTGGCGTTACATATACAAGTGTTCCAATAAGTTACACCATATTAAACTATCGCTCAATAAAAGAACAGGTTTAAATTAATGAGGCATTATTCTACAAGAAAAATGTTAAGTTTGAATGAAGCAGACGTGCATCGTTTTTTGGTCATCTACACACATGAAGACAAGGCCATGCATGGCCCCAAAGCCATTTGATAAAAGAAAAAAAAACATGTGTCCAGCCATGATATATTTACACGATCTAACGCCCCCCCCCCCCAAAACCTGTATTATGGATATTGGTCGCAGAAGCCTACAGATTTAAACCGTTATGCTCTAGATCTCCAACGTTGTACTCAATGGAAAAAGGTTCCAAACCAATAACTTGCTAGGGAGTTTTTCGTAGTGAGAAAAGCAAGGTAATATCCATAACAAATCTGCATGATCTTTTACTTTAAAAAAAGGTACCGAAACTAGCATTTAAATTTTTTTTGCCAATCTCATTCATAAATCCCATCTCAGATACTTGAAGTTTCCAGATTTGGCGAGGACGCCATCGGGTCACCTTCATTAGCACACCTCGATTGTGCCTAGGCAGTAAAACGTTGCGATTACGGCAATTGTGATGGACGTGGGTACATGCTCACAATGGTTAGCGTTAGAGTGTGGTTGTAAAGAGCCATCGTGGTAATGTTTGTGCACGTGGGTGTATCGTACCTAGGATTAACTTGTCACAACTGCAAAACACTTTCCAGCATGAAACCACAACTGTAAACCGGGCATGTTCCATATCGCTAGACACCTGGTAGCTTTCCATTCGCAATGGCCACGGTGGGCTCGGATGGAGACTATTCCAGTCGCATTTATACCCAAATTATCAAAGTCACAAGCACGCCACGTTGATGCGACCAAATGTTTATTTCATAGTATCCGTATCATTCAAACAGCCGCGTCGCTCTTGAATGCGGTCAGCGCGTGGGTCCGGCCATTCCGCGCGTGGTGCGCTCGGAAGTTGGGGTGGCAGCAGAATTTCAAGGCCGCGATGGTGATCACGAACTCGAGGAAGTCGACTTGCCCATCTTTGTCATCGCCAAGGTCCCTCAGGATGCGGCTCACCACGAACCCATCCACGGGATTCTGAATGGAATCACAACAGCAAGAGTTAGGAAAAAAAAGACTGGACTTAAGCGGACAGATTGCAAAGGACTGCAGAACACGGGTGAAATGTACAGCAATCAAGTGGTACACTGGTTAATTGCGTGGGGAGGCAGGTCATTCCAATGTGTGTTGATTAACAGAGCAGCCAACAATAGATGCTGAATATTCTCAGAACACAATGCAAGTAGATTAACTGCGAATGCCAACCAACAATTAAGCAACCCATTGCAGTATTAACAGGATCCATTGCAACCTATAGGACTAGATCTACTTTCCTTTTCTGCTCTTTGCACAGGATTCAGGCAGTCCCATTCCCTTCACCCCACACAGGAAAATGTTCTTCACAATTCTGGCCGTAGGCCGATGAAACGGATTGTATCGCCAGATAAACATCGTACTCAAATTGTAAATGTTAATAGTGGACCCTCAACCACATCAGTGTCCTAAAGTGGTGACAAACCTTCCGAATTGGCCGCGTCGCGTTTAAACGATACATTTATACGTTCTTGGTTCTTTCGGTAAAGTCACGTAGAAGGGAAATAATAAAAATAAAACAAAATAAAATAATTCTCACAAGGGTTCGGCCACAACGCAAGCAGCCGTCCTCAGGTGAAGAACAGGTCTGTCGGAAAGACAGCATCTGAGATTTATTTTATAATGTTTTATTTTTATTATTTTATTATTTCCCTTCTACGTGACTTTACCGAAAGAACCAAGAAGCTCAATCCCTGCAGTCACGAAAGCTTTAAATCGGAATGACACATTTATAATTAGGAGATCGCAAAAAAACGCCCTTTTTATTATGCAGAACAGAGTTACAGGTACAAGCTCAGAAATATAACCAGAGACTCCAAAATGGGATAATTAACCGGAGCGACGGGTCCAGACGAATATTAAAAGCCACGTCTCACCTGGATCAGACTCTTGCCCTTATCCCCCTTCAGAAAGCTCCTGAACTTCTCCTTCTTCAGACAATCTTTGACGGCGTTGTCGTGGGCGAGCTCATGGAAGGTGGACAGGAGCTTCAGCGTGGCTGCATGGAGGTCGCTCATCTTTGTAGGAGGAGATTTCACGGTCGAGTCCGTACACGAATAGAATCTGCGAGGACACGACAGACAAGACAACGGAACAGACGTTAGTCCCGTGAAGACAACGCACACGGCACCACATTTCACGCATCACAATGCGATGGCCCATAACACGACCTCAAGCCTGGCAACATCAAGTAGCGCCAGCTTTGCTCTAGACTCTAGAACTTTCCCCCCCGTCTGGCCTCATCAGCTGGGCACTGCTCTCACCGAACCCAGGCAAAACCCACGCGTTGCACCGAGCCCAATTACACAAAGCAGTTGCACCAGCAGAAGCGGCGGCACCGATTTAAAATGTATTCATTTCTCAATCATGGGCAGGCCTCTGCCTTGAACAGCCAAAAATAACAGGAAGAACAGGAGAACGCAGGACCATAACCCGAACAGGGGATCCTTTTGTAACAATCATAACCATTACAGAAAATACACCATTTGCTGCGGCACAGAGACCTGAACGTGACGTCTGCAACTTCAACAACAACGGCAGCTGCCCCCCTGTCGCAGCTTTTATGAAGCAAGGCCAGTGACGTCACCACTCACACCTGCTCGCTCTCATTGCGCGATCGAGTGATGAGTTCATTTGATTTGGGCCCGTCTAGCCAGTTTCCCGGCTCATTTACAAGGAAAGTCGTTGATGCGTGAGCACAGCGGCAGCGGCAGCAACAACGTCAACAGATAATTAACTTGGAGGCGCGTGCCACGCGGCGCCGCCATTGTCATCAAGCAGGCGCTTGATGGAGAGAGGAGTGGATGAGTTTGCACGGGACGAATTCAGCTTAAATCAATCTTCGTCGTCACTCGCAGCCAAGACCACGGCCTCTGCAGTGACTAAAATGACAATTAAATGAGATGCCCGCGTTTTCACTTCAGAATTTGATTGAGACTGAAGTATGCACGTGGGCCTGCCGTGGTGTCATGGTTTGCTCACTGGATGTGTAATGCTGTAGAGCATTGTAACGAGGCACACCACAAGTATTTGATCATACTCTTTGGTTTTTTCGGTAAAGTCACGTAGGTTAAAAAAATATACAAATAAATTAAAATGACTTTACCGAAAAATAAACAAAGAGTATGGATCCTTGCAGTCACGAAAACTTCAAATCTAGAAGTATTTGATCAGTTTGTTTTGCCAGCAGTAGCTTGACCAAGTAGTTACAAGGCTGCATATTTACCTTACACCTCCTGCATGTCAGACCAGAGAAAATGAACTCGGATTATTATTGTCAAACAGCCGGTTAACTGGCTAAACGGGACCAAATCAAATAAACTCATCACTCAATCGAGCAAAGCGAGCGAGCAGGTGTGACTGATGACGTCACTGGTCGCGCTTCATAAAAGCCGCGACGGAGGCAGCAAAGGTTGTTGTTGAAGCTGCAGTCGTCACGTTCAGGTCTCTGGGCGGCCGTTGGTTGGTGGGTTGTGTTTGGAATCAAAGCTGGGGGTTGATACGTGATGATGTTCGGTCTTCTTCTTGGTTCTTTCGGTAAAGTCCCGTAGAATGGAAATAATAAAATAATAACAATTAAACATAATAAAATAATTCTCGAGAGAATTATTTTATTATGTTTTTATAATTTTATTATTTCCATTCTACGTGACTTTACCGAAAGAACCAAGAATATGAATCCCTGCAGTCACGAAAGCTTTAAATCGAGATGTTCGGTCGTTTTGCGGTTCTTCACATTGTGGTGTGTAAGTGAGGTGCCGTGTGCGTGATTTGAAGACTGCGACGTAGGCAGCTGCTCTTGTTATTGAAGTTGCAGACGTCGCCTTCAGGTCTCTGCGTGCGGCTACCACTGCTGTGTTGGGGAAGATGCTTTGTGTAGCGGGGGTCTCTACAACGCGAGGGTTTTATCTGGGTTCGGCGAGAGCAGTTCCCTGGCTGAGGGTCGGGCCGTACGGGAAAATTGTTTGTTTTGTGGTTCAGCACAGTGGTGCATGAGGTGCCGTGTTTCATTGCCTTCACGGGCGTGAAGTCCGTCTTGCCGTCTGTCGTGTCCTCTGCAGATTCCTCTTGCGTACCGACTCGACCGTGCATCTCCTCTGCCAAGATGTGCGACCTGCATGCAGCCACCCTGAAGCTCCTGTCCATCTTCAATGAACTCGCCCACGACAACGCTGTCAAAGATTGTCTGAAGAAGGAAAAGTTCAGGAGCTTCCTGAAGGGGGATAAGGGCAAGAGTCTGATCCAGGTGAGACGTGGCTTTTGATATTCGTCTGGACCAGTCCCTCCCGTTAACACCATTTTGGAGTCTGGTTTTATCATTGAGCTTGTAGCCTTTAACATCCATTTTTCTGCGCAATTTTTCCTTTGGGTTGGAAGTCTCATGGTGTAAATGCTTACCCCGAGGTCTCTGCTCTGATGGTGCGTTGTCTTTGAGTTGTGCGTCCTCTGGTCCAACATCATGTGCGACTGGACTCCTAACAAAAGCTGTCTCTGGTGTGGACCAATCAATTTCAAGGACGGTGCATACATGATCAGAGTTGTCTTTTTGTTTGCCTTTTGACCACAAGTGTTGTGGTTAATGCAAACATGATCTCTTTGTGTAAAGGTGTCAGTTTTGTTGCCAGATGAAAGGGGGGAAAACCTATTGCTATAAATGGATCGTTAAACCCGACCGCCAAATTCGTAAGGTTTGTCGCGTAAACAAAACGTGCCAATTAGTTACTCCTCGCCAATGTGGAGCGCAAACTCGCCTTTTTATAATTTCAATTTTGCTGGTAATTGCAATCGGCTTCATCGGGCGACAGCCAGAAATGTGACTAAAGTCCTGTTAACATCTTCTTGGTTCTTTCGGTAAAGTCACGTAGAAGGGAAGACTGTCAAGAAGACAGTCTGAATGACTGTCTTCTCGACAGACCTGTTCACCTGAGGACGGCTGCTTGCGTTGTGGCCGAAACGGCGTGAGAATTTTATTATATTTTATTTTTATTATTTTATTACTTCCCTTCTACGTGACTTTGCCGAAAGAACCAAGAAGATTAATCTCTGCTGTCACGAAAGCTTTAAATCCTCTTAACATCTTAAGAGGGGATAAAGGTGACGTCATCGCTCTGCTTATCAGATGCGAAGACGGGTGGGTTAATGTCGTCTTACAAGTTACAATGGATTGTGTTCATCTGAAAATGCAGTACCTGTGTTTATCTGGGCATATGCAGTTTATATTAACTGCTCGCATTTGTTATCGACATGTAGTGAAATCCCCTGCATTGGCTTGCAATTAAACCACGTATCACTTGATTGCTATAGCTTTTACCCATGTTCCGCAGTTTTAGCACTCGTTCCAGGTCTAGTTTTTTCTAACTCTTGCTGCTGCGATTTCCTTTTCAGAATCCCGTTGATGGGTTCGTGGTGAGCCGCATCCTGAGGGACCTTGGCGATGACAAAGATGGGCAAGTCGACTTCCTCGAGTTCGTGATCACCATCGCGGCCTTGAAATTCTGCTGCCACCCAAACTTCCGAGCGCACCACGAGCGGAATGGCAGGACCCACGCGCTGACCGCATTCCAAGTGTAACGCGGCTGTATGATATGCGTACTATGAAATAAATCTGATGGTTGCATCAACGTGGTGGGCTTGTGGCTTTGCATTGTGGGTATATAAACTACTGCAATGGTCTCCCTGTATTGCTGCTGCAATAGACGACTACCATCAGTAGTCGTGTAATACTGAACGTGCCAGGAATGGATTCCATTGCTTGCAGTTCTGTGGCTCTATAACTGAAAGGATTCCTAAAGTGTGACCCAAGTAATTGGTAGGATGGGCTGCCCGGTTCTAGTTTGTACCTCCAATTGGAACTCCCTTTCCATTTTCTTGATAAATATTTGAATTGTATGTGATATGGATTCTTTGTACGTTTATTGACCAAGGTAACCTATCCTAAACATACAGATGCATTAACAATCGTATTACCAACACCACGTGTTTGGTCAAATATTTCCAACAAACTGCAAGAGCAACAATCCCACAACTTATCATAACCACAACATTGTATAGAGCCACCACTGCAACCAAAGGTGCTTGCCATGGAAGGTGGACTAATGGTGTTTCCTGCAAAATCGGGACTTCCAAACGTATGCAGTGCAGGCGTCATTGGTGAGCGTGAACATTGACAAATTCATATTTTTGACAATTTAGGCACGTTCATTTGAAGTTAAAACAACATTGTTAGCAAAACAACATTGTTAGCTGACCCAAAGAAAGCTTTCGTGACTGCAGGAATTCATATTGAGTAAAGATTTGGCTTCATCCCAGAGTTGACCTAGCAGAACAGCCCAGCTCTCTGTCCACACCCTGCTTATAACCACTCCGGCGTGGCCGGCTATTTTTTCTCTTATCATTTTTCTATTTGTGGCTTTACCGAAAGACCCAATTCCTGCAGGCACAAAGGCTTTAAGTCAAGCTTTAGACGTTTCACACTTTCCCTCAGTCTCGTGTGTGACTGCATGTTTCCCTCAAACGTACCAAGTATGAGACTGAGCAGATGGCCTTTGGGACATGGTGCTGCATGGCCGTCTTGATTTATTGTGGCAATGTGACCACAAGGATATAGGTCTGCTTCAAACTTAATTCATTCCATCGGCAGCATTGCGAATACTTCACCTGAACCCGTTTGAATTCTCGATTAAAATCCACTTGATGCATTCCTTGGCTCAACCGTCATTACAAGAGGATTTGGAAAATGAGGCAATTTGAAGTGTTTGTAATGTCTTAACTATCTTGAGTTACATTTCGATTTAAAACTATCCTGACTGCAGGGATTCATTCTTGGTTCTTTTGGTAAAGTCACGTAGAAGGAAAATAATACAAATTAAACAATCTCACGACGTTTCGATTGCAACAGGCAATTTTCTTGCCGTGGTTTTCACACCTGATGATTGCTTGTGTTGCAATCGAAACTTCGTGAGAATTTTAATGTTTTAATTTAATTATTTTATTACTTCCCTTCCACATGACTTTACCGAAAGACCCAAAAATATCTGAATTTGATTTAAACAATTTTTTTCCTTGCAGTACAATTATAAAAAGTGTGGTTACATATTAAAATGCGTTCAAATAGGAGTCGCACCATAAACTATAGCTCAATACAGCTAAAAATGCATGGGGCATTGTTCTGCAGGAATAACACGTTCCTTCGGAGTGGGCAGGTAGGAACTTGGTTGGACAGCGCATTCGTGCGATCCGTGTCACGCGGCACAAGCGGCGTGGGGCGGCGCGTCACGTGGTGATGAGACCGCCTGAAGCGCTCTACGAAATACAAATCGAGGGTGTGGCTATGCACGACAGACAGACAAATAATCTCTGGTGGGCAGTGTGGAACTGTTGTTCCTACCTGTATGAAGTTTGAATGAAGCAGACTTGCATCGGTATTTTTTGGTCATTCCCACAAATGAAGACAAGAGCATGCACGTGTAGTGGCATAAAATAATAGTAACGTAGCAGCATAGCGCTGGCTGCTGGCAGGGAAGGGGATCTGTGGCTTTGGCAGCCCTGACGTCAGCCCTGACGTCCCCAGGCCATGTTATTCACGACAGGGGGATCTCGGGGAAATGTCACAAGGGGCACACCAAGAAAGGGGATGTGGCCAGAGGCGGGGGCCAGGTCCTCTGACAGTCTAAGGGCCCAGATTTGAAGCTTTCGTAACTGCAAGGATTCATATTCTTAGGTTTTTTCGGTAAAGTCACGTAGGTAAAAAATTAAAATTAATAAAAGTAAAAAAAAAATTTAAAGATCACGTTTCGATAGCTGATACGGCTGTCGTGCTGTGACGGTCCCACCTGAAGACGGAAGCTTGTGTTGCCTCCGAAACGTCGTGATTTTTATTTATTTATTTATTCCTTTTATTCTTTAAATTTTTTACCTACGTTACTTTACCGAAAAAACCTAAGAATAGTATAAGGGCCCCTGTAGGGGACCTCGGGGCTGTCATACGGAGTGAGATCCCCGTTGTGCTACTGAAGTCTTCACCATTCTTCTCGTCGTTTTTCATTCTTCACCATCTCGTCTCCGTCTTTACCATCTCGGGGCGTCACCAGTCAGGCAGCCTACCAACTATTCTTTGGTTCTTTCGGTAAAGTCACGTATAAAGATAAAATAATAAATTTAATCATAGCATACTACGACGTTTCGATTGCAACACAAGCAATCATCATCAGGTATAAAAGAAATAGCAACAAAAATCTAACCAGAAAACTATAGACAGACACACAAGCAGACAGACATCACAAGGACACAGAGAGAGAGAACACGTATCGGCACAAAGAGAGAGGTCGTCTCTGTGACGAGACCTTAAATATAGAGAGGGGGCGGGGGCGGAGAGAGGGAGGGGGCAGAGAAAAAATGTGCATGTCAATGAGTGGACAACAACGTGGTATGGTACACAAGCTTGAAAATTACGAGAAAGACACACCAAAATAAAATAACCTAGTAAAATATCGAAATGTAATGTAATCCAACACAGAGAGTCGGTCATAGGACTTATTATAAAAGTGGTAATCCCCGATGGTACTTGTTGATAAATAAGCGCCTCTAACTCTTAATGTTTGTTAGTGTCGAATTGGTCACTACACATGCCCTCAGCCATCTGAAAAAAAAAGTGCAACTGTCATGCTCTAGATCTCCAATATGTATACTCTTTGGTTCTTTCAGTAAACTCACATAGGTATAAATAAAATAAATCACGAAGTTTCAGGCGCAACACAAGCGTCTGTCATCAGGTGGGAAAGCATGGTCTGGTGTGGAGGCAGACTGTTCTAAAATGTTTGAAATGGGTGTAGCTCACGGGTTATAAAGTGGCCGGGGCTAGTGATGTTAATGTGAGAAAACACATTCCTGCAGAGGGAGCTGGTAAGAACGTTGGGTTGCTCGGTCAATGGCCAGGGTCAACGGCGGCGTGGTGTATTCTGCAAATATGGCCGACTGAGGGCAGGCACAAGCCGGCGTGAGTAGGTTAAACGTTCAGTTTAAGGGCACCACGGGGTGATCAGCCCCTCCCCACCCCTACGTGCACGACGGACACAATAATCCCCTATGGCAGCGGTCGGGAACCTATGGCTCGCAAGCCATATATGGCTCTTCCATTGATGGCATATGGCTCCCAGACAATTGAGTTGAAAAAAATAATGAAAAAACAAAATATCAGTTTGGAACTGATTCTAAAATACTTGTGATATTGTTTAATAATACTGTGTAATTTTAAAGTAAACAGAAATTAGTTTTGAAGATAAATTTCACGGGTCACGCCTGCATGAAACTCAACCTCACCACGTATGAACCAGACAAGGCCATCAGCAAAACCATGCAGCACCAGAAGTCGCATTAAAAGTAAGACATATTTAATTTATTATACGTTAAAAATACTATATGGCTCTCAATGAAATATATTTAGAAATATTTGGCTTTTATGGCTCTCCCAGTCAAAAAGGTTCCCGACCCCTGCCCTATGGGCTGGTGTAACCAGGAGGTTCCTACCAGTATCAGCATAGGAGAGCGGCTTCGACGAGGAAGTGCAACCAAACGGGTGCAAGCCAATGAGCATGCGAGCATGATAGATGCGAGAGATATAGGATGGATCAAGATAAGTATGTGACGCGAGGGAAAAGCTCAAAACCAAACCCATGATTTGCTGGGGACTTTGGCAGTGTGCAACGTAAGGGCAAATCCATAATTATTTGAATTGTAAAGAACGTGCCGAAACCAGCATTGAAAGAAAGTATTGGCCAATTGTTCACGAACCCCCATTTCAGATACTTGAAAAGTCCAGATTTGGCAGGGATAATCAGGTGAAGTTGATTGTGCTCAAGCAGTAAAGTGTTGCAATTATGGCAATGTGGGCGCGATTACATGCTCACATCACGGCCAACATGGTAGTGTTGGGACACTGGGTGTATCGTACCTACATTAATTTGTCAGCTTTATATATAAATTAAAAAAACTTTCCATCATGAAACCACAGCAGTAAACAGGCAGACTCCTGGCACGGTTCATCTAGCCAAAATGCCTGGTAGTTGCCCATCGTAAATGGCAGTGCATGGCGACCACCGCAGTCGTGTCCATATTTAAAGTACCAAGTCACAAGCACTGCATGTTGCGATCAAGATTTATTTCATAATATCCGTATCATTCAAACAGTCGCGTCGCTCTTGAATGCGGTCAGCGCGTGGGTCCTGCCATTCCGCTCGTGGTGCGCTCGGAAGTTGGGGTGGCAGCAGAATTTCAAGGCCGCGATGGTGATCACGAACTCGAGGAAGTCGACTTGCCCATCTTTGTCATCGCCAAGGTCCCGCAGGATGCGGCTCACCACGAACCCATCCACGGGATTCTGATAAGGAAATCGCAACAGCAAGGAGTTAGAAAATTAACCCGTAAAAACTAAGTTTTTCACTATAAATTCTTTATATGCGTGGCGGCTAGAGTCCTCTGGCTTGAGATGGCTGCCACCTAGGGGTCAGATGATTGCCTGCCACCATTAAGCAATTGGTAATTCAATCTTATTTTTTTTTTTTTACCTAAAGTGTCAAATTTGGAAACAAATTTTCACGAACATTAATTGTCACGCACAACGAGTCTGTGTGGAAAATGTCAGCTCGATTGGATCACGGGAAGTGGGTTAAAAAACGACCGAAAGATTTGCACGGTCGTAAGCAAGCAAGCGAACTTAATATAAAGGATTCAATTAAAGAGTTAAAAAAGGTCCACATTTGTTTAGGTGACAAACCTTACTAATTGGGTGCATGGTGTTTAAAGCGACATGTATATTTCACGCCATCCAAACAAAAAAACACTTGATTGTGCTGAACGGAGATTCGAGGGTCCAAGCTAATAATTAAAAGGCAGTCGAAAATGGGACGATTAGAGGGACTCGTCCATACGATCAATCAAAAATCACGTCTCACCTGGATCAGACTCTTGCCCTTATCCCCCTTCAGGAAGCGCCTGAACTTTTCCTTCTTCAGACAATCTTTGACAGCGTTGTCGTGGGCGAGCTCATGGAAGATGGACAGGAGCTTCAGGGTGGCTGCATGGAGGTCGCTCATCTTGGCAGAGGAGATGCACGGTCGAGTCGGTACGAAAGAAGAATCTGCGAGGACACGGCAGAGCGAGACATTTCAGTCCCCAGAAGAAAACACACGAGGCATCTCATTTTACGCATCATTATGTGATGGACCACAAAACTACCTTAATCCTACTTTGGTTTTTTCGGTAAAGTCACGTAAGTAATAAAAACAACTACATTAAATCACGACGTTTCGGAAGCAACACAAGCCGCAATCTTCAGGTGGAACCGCCACAGCAAAATTACTGTAGTGAAGAAAAAAGTTATTTTTTTACCTACGTGACAAACCAAAGAGTATGGATCCTTGCAGTCACGAAAACTTCAAATCTGGAATTACCTTAATCCTAGCAATAGCACACGGAGCACCAGATTCCGTCCCTTCTAGCATCATCCTGGGCAGTGCACCGCTCTCACCGAACCCAAGTAAACACCACGCCCGGCAAAGATCCCCACAACACGAGGCATATTCCCCAACACAGCCGCTGTAGCAGCAGCGCGAGCACCTGAAAGCGACGTCTGCAGATGCACCACCAACTTGTCCTGCCACTGTCGCGGCTTTTATGAAGCGCGGCCAGTGACGTCGCCAATCACAGCTGCTCGCGCTCATTGCGCGATCGAGTGACCAGTTTCATTGATTGGTTCCGTTAATCCGGTTTCCCGGCTCAATTACAAGGGAATTCCGTGATGCGTGAGCACAGCAACAGCGTAAAGAGACAATGAGCTGGGAGGCGCGTGCCACGATGCTGCGCCATTGTCATCAAGCGGGCGTTTGATGGAGAGAGGCGTGGAGGAGTTTGCACGGAGACGAATTAAAGGTAATTCTGCATCGTTACTCGCAGCCCAGACCACCGCCTCCGCAGTGCCGACATTACAAGTAAATGAGATGCTTGCGTTTTAACCTCAGAATTTGATTGAGACAGGCGTATGCACGTGGGTCTGCCGTGGTGTCATGGTTTGTTCACTGGATGTGTCATGCAGAGGTCTTTGGTTTCATCTCCCAGAGCGGCAAGTTACAATAAAGCCCACCCATCAATACTCTTAGGTTTATTCGGTAAAGTCACGTAGGTAAAAAAAACTAACATTAAAAAGTAAAATAAAATGAAATAAAAATCACGACGTTTCGGAGGCGACACAAGCTTTCGTCTTCAGGTGGTACCGTCACAGCCACGAAAGCCGTATCAAGTAAATGAGAGATTGCAAGAGCCACCACTCCGTTTATATAATGGTTGGAGAAGGTGGTGGGGCAAGGGCCGCATACTTTTTATTAATATGGTAAGGTGAGGCTTAAGACTAAGAATAGACTGCATAACAAACTGAGCCTTTGTTTGGAGAGGCACGGCTTGTGACTCAACCTGTGACAGGGAGACACCACTAAACATGGTAAAACTGTAATAGTTGTCTGTTAAATAAGATTGGCAAATAAGTGTAGTTAAATCTTTTTTGCATGGTTAATCACATCTTTCCAATGATTACTCAGTTTGTAACCGTCATCACGGTTGAAATTATGTCTGCGTTTGTATATTTGTATGGCTTCGTGTACAAACCTTTGATGGTAGCCAGGAGGTTTGCAGAGAACCTCGGTCTCGGAAAATACAATTGCATGAGAGCCCACCGAGTTGTAGCAATGATCGGCAACGGCCGAAGAATCAGTTCTGCCGTGTTTCAGATCTGACTTGTGCTCGCGGACACGATCAGAAACATGACGTTTCGTTTCTCCAATGTAGCAATCACCACAAATGCAACTCAATTTGTAGACTCCAGGATACTGTAAGTCAGGCAACGACATCCTTCACAGATGGAATCAAATCACGGATGTTATGCACTGTACTGAATCGGACTTGGATCTTATGCTTGTTTAGAATTTTGGAGATCTTTTTGGTCACGCCTGCTATGTATGGCAACGTGATAGTTTTGGTCGGAGTTTCATGTGGCTGTTTCTGCATGGTGGGAGAAACAGCTTGGCGGATAGTGCGGTCAGAGTATCCGTTCATCCTGAGGGCCCGATGTACATGTCTTAATTCACCGGCCAGGTGGTGTTGGTCAGAAATGCCATGGGCTCTGTGGTATACCGTTTTGATGAGAGAATTCTTTTGAGATGGGTGGTGGTGGGAATCCGGTTTCAAGTAGGAATCTGTGTGGGTGGCTTTCCTGTAGACAGAATGTCCCAAGGATCCGTCAGGCCTCCTCTCAAACAGAATATCCAAGAATGGTAGTTTACCGTCTTTCTCCACTTCCATGGTGAATCTGATGGATGGGTGTCTAGAATTGATGTGGTTCAAGAAGTGGTTCAATGCTGGGAGGCCATGTGGCCAGATGACGAAAGTGTCGTCCACATACCTCTTCCACAAGGAAGGACGCAGGGTGGATGTCTGGATGGCGTCTGATTCAAACTTTTCCATGAACATGTTGGCATTTAACATTTAATGTTAACACAAAAAATGTCACCTTCCGATTGGAACCACGTTGATTACATGACTTCTGCTTCTGCTGACTCAATGTCAGCCAAATGCAAAGCTAACCTGATTTCTAAATTCAACCTCCTATCTAAGAAGAAACCAGAGCCACACATCGCAAAGCTGGATGTTAACAAGACCGTGATTAATCAGAGTAACATCCCAATTTCTGACAATCTAAAAACGGTACTGGCGGTGGGTCGGGAGCAAGCTTCACACCGGATCGTGCCAGGCGACACAACCGAGTCCGGGATGCCTTTAAGGAGAACGTGCCAGAAGCGGTGACTATGGAATCATACTGTTAGGTTTTTTCGGTAAAGTCACGTAGGTAAAAATTAACCCGTAAAAACAAAGTTTTTCACTATATAAATCCTTTATGTGCGTGGCATCGGTTTCATTTTTTTATTCATTTCTGTTTTTATTGAGTAAGAGTTTCATTTTTATCACATTGGTATTTTAAATTAAATATAAGGAAAGTCGTATATAAGGATTATAAGGTTTTCAGTTGTTGTATGATTGTTTATATTGTACATTTTTGTTGTTTTCTTGAATAATTTGCTGTGTTTAGGAAAAATATATGATTGTGTTAGTGAAAAAAAATTTTCTCCTAAAAAGTGGAAAATTTTGGAACAAAAATTTTCACGAAAATAAATTGTCACGCACAACGAGTCTGTGTGCAAAATGTCAGCTCGATTGGATCACGGGAAGTGGGTTAAAAACGACCGAAAGATTTGCACGGTCGTAAGCGCTGCAAGCAAGCAAGTGAACTTAATATAAAGGATTTTAAAAAGTAAAAATAAAATAATAAAAATAAAAAATAATAAAAGTAATAATTACTTTTATTAACTTTTATTTTTATTTTTTTAACCTACGTGACTTTACCGAAAAAACATAACAGTATGAATCCTTGCAGTCACGAAAGCTTCAAATCTAGAATGACTGTGGAACGCTCGATTTTTGTGCGAACTGGCGTTATAGGAATGCTGCAATTTGAGCCCATGGACCTATTTTGTTTGACAGCTCTGCCGGGCGGGCAGGGCCTTTGATGTCAGCTTCGGGACCAGCAATTTACTGCAACGCTTTCTGACACGCTTTGATGAGAAGGCAGGTGAAAGGCCTCTCTCTCTGCTCAAGCTGCATTTGCTGTCAGAATTGAACACGAAAATGGTGAGGGTCTTTCTGTACAATGAATCGCTGCCGGATCATGATGTGGAGGTGTGGCTACGACGGAATTTCCATCTGTTGTCGACCTGCAAACGTGTCCAGGACTCACTGGGCATCTGAACTGGTTGGGTTTTACCTGGGTTCTGCGAGGACAGTGCGTGTCGCTGCCGCGTGGCTGAGAATGAAAAGGGTCTGGATTGATCTCAGCTTGGCACAAGGTTTCATAATGTTTTTGGTGTTTTATCTTTTTCTTGAATGTAATGGGATCATATTGTGACCACTGTATTTGACGCAATTCACATTGTCTTCAACGGTGAGTTTTAACAATCTCAATTCATATTTTCTGCTCTGACATACTGGAGGTGTCAGGTAAAGACCCATCCTTGTGATTACTTTGTCAAGGTACTGCTGGCAAAACATACCCATCAAATACTTGCGGTGTTTACATTGATGGGTGGGCATTATTGTAACTTGCCGCTCTGGGAGATGAAACCAAAGACCTCTGCATGACACATCCAGTGAACAAACCATGACACCACGGCAAACCCACGTGCATACGCCTGTCTCAATCAAATTCTGAGGTTAAAACGCAAGCATCTCATTTACTTGTAATGTCGGCACTGCGGAGGCGGTGGTCTGGGCTGCGAGTAACGATGCAGAATTACCTTTAATTCGTCTCCGTGCAAACTCCTCCACGCCTCTCTCCATCAAACGCCCGCTTGATGACAATGGCGCAGCATCGTGGCACGCGCCTCCCAGCTCATTGTCTCTTTACGCTGTTGCTGTGCTCACGCATCACGGAATTCCCTTGTAATTGAGCCGGGAAACCGGATTAACGGAACCAATCAATGAAACCCGTCACTCGATCGCGCAATGAGCGCGAGCAGCTGTCAGTGGTGACGTCACTGGCCGCGCTTCATAAAAGCCGCGACAGCGGCAGCAGAAGTTGTTGGTGCATCTGCAGACGTTGTTTTCAGGTGCCCGCGCCGCTGCTAACGTGTCTGTGTTGGGGAATATGCCTCGTGTTGTGGGGATATTTGCCAGGCGTGGTGCTTACTTGGGTTCGGTGAGAGCGGTGCATTGCCCAGAATGATGCTAGAAGGGACGGAATCTGGTGTTCCCTGTGATATTGCTAGGATTAAGGTAATTCTAGACTTGAAGTTTTCGTGACTGCAAGGATCCATACTCTTTGGTTTTTTCGGTAAAGTCACGTAGGTAAAAATAATAAACTTTTTACTCGCTACTGTAATTTTGCTGTGGCGGTTCCACCTGAAGATGAAGACTTTGTGTTGCTTCCGAAACGTCGTGATTGAAATTTTTTAGTTCTCTTATATCTTTTTTTACCTACGTGACTTTACCGAAAAAACCGTAGGGTTAAGGTACTTTTGTGGTCGTCACAAAATGATGATGCCTCCGTGTATCTTCTGGAGACTGAAATCTGTCTCGTGTCCTCGCAGATTCCTCTCGCTTGCCGACTCGACCGTGCATCTCCTGCCAAGATGAGCGACCTCCATGCAGCCACCCTGAAGCTCATGTCCATCTTCACCTGAGCTCGCCCACGACAACGCCGTCAAAGATTGTCTGAAGAAGGAAAAGTTCAGGAGCTTCCTGAAGGGGGATAAGGGCAAGAGTCTGATCCAGGTGAGACGTGGTTTTGAATCTTCATTTGGACGTGTCCCTCTGTTAATCGTCCCATTTTGGACTCTGCCTTTATTTTTTAGCTTGGACCCTCAAATCTCCGTTCAGCGCAATCGTTTATTTTGGATGGCGTAAAATATGCATGTCGTTAAAAACAATGCAGCCAATTACGATGGTTTGTCACCTAAACCAAATGTGGAACTTTTTTACTATTTAATGACCCCGTTGTGGTTAAGAGTAAGCTAGCAACATTAGCAATTTGAGTACACCGTTTCTTTGCCGACCCAATTGGTTTCATCAGGCAATGCCGGATTTGTCAGTCTGAGGGTAAAGGGAATGTCATTGGGCCCAATCCGGTCAGAAAACCAGAGGGTTTTAAGCCGGTCCTGTCGGTTACGATGGATCATGTTAAAATTGAATGCAGTACTTGTTGGCATATTCGGTTAATCCACAAACCTCATGGTGATCTGTGCATATGCAGTACTAATATCGGCTGCTCCGTTAATCAACATGCAGTGGAATGACCTGCATATGCACGCGATTTAACGAGTGTCTCCCTTAATTGTTATACATTTATCTGCGGTCTGTCATTCGGTGCAGTCTTTTCTAACTCTTGCTGTTGTGATTCCCTTTTCAGAATCCCGTGGATGGGTTCGTGGTGAGCCGCATCCTGCGGGACCTTGGCGATGACAAAGATGGGCAAGTCGACTTCCTCGAGTTCGTGATCACGATCGCGGCCTTGAAGTTCTGCTGCCACCCCAACTTCCGAGCGCACCACGAGCGGAATGGCAGGACCCACGCGCTGACCGCATTCAAAGAGTAACGCGTCTGGTGCATGATACAGATACTATGAAATAAACATTTGATCGCAACATGCAGTGCTTGTGACTTGGTACTTTAAATATAGACACACCTGCGGTGGTCGCCATGCACTGCCATTTACGATGGGCAACTACCAGGCATTGTCTGGCTATATGAAACGTGCCAGAAGTCTGCCTGTTCACTGCTGTGGTTTCATGATGAAAAGTTTTTTGGTATATAAAGCTGACAAAATTAATGCAGGTACAATGCACCACGTGTCCAAACATGACCATGTTGGCGGTTTTGACAACCACCATTTAACGCCAGCCATTGTGAGCATGTAGTCACCGCCACAAATTGCCATCGCAACACTTTAGTGCATGGGCACAATCAAGGTGACCTTATGGTGTCCCTGCCAAATCGGTACACTTCAAGTATCTGAAATGGGGTTTGTGAACAAGATTGGCTAAACTTAATTCAATGCTGGTTTCGGCACGTTCTTTTAAATAAAAAATAATTATGCTTTTTATGGATTTGCCCTTACATTACACACTGCCAAAAATTCCCCAGCAAATCATGGGTTTGGCTTAAAGCATTTCCCTCTACCATTTTGGACATCTAGAGCATGACCGTTGCACGTGAAATATTTTTTTTCAGATGGCTGTGGGGGTATGTGTTGTGACCAACTCGGACACTAAGAGTTGGAGGCGCTTTATTAACACGCACCATCGGGGGTTAATACTTTAAAAGTAATTCCGTCTATGATAATCGACAATACTCATGACAGTTGGTAGGCTGCCTGACTGGTGACGCCCCGAGATGGTGAAGACGGAGACAAGGATGGTGAAGAAAGAACGACGAGAATGGTGAAGACTTCAGCGGCACGACCGGGATCCCACTCCGTATGACAGCCCTGAGGTCCCTGACAGGGGCCTTTGGACTGTCAGAGGACCTGGCTCTGGCCACACCCCCTTTGGTGTGCCCCTTCTGTGACCTTTCTCCTAGATCCCCCTGTCGTGAATAACCTGGCTGACATCAGGGCTGCCAAAGCCGCAGATTCCTTTCCCTACCAGTAGCCTGCAATATGCTGCTATGTTACTATTATTCTATGCCACTACACGCGCATGGTCGTGTCTTCATTCGTGGGAATGACCAAAAAATACAGATGCAAGTCTGCTTCGTTCAAACTTCATACAGGTAGGAACAACAGTTCCACACTGCCCGCCAGGGATATTGTCTGTCTGTCGTGCATAGCCACGCCCTCGATTTGTATTTCATAGTGCTTCGGGCAGTCTCAGCACCACGTGACGCGCCGCCCCACGCAGCTTGCGCCACGTGACACGAATCGCAACGAATGCGCTGTCCAACCAAATTCCTACCTGCCCACTCCGAAGAAACGTGTTGTTCCTGCAGAACAATGCCCCATGCATTTATAGCTGTATTGAGCGATAGTTTACGGTGCAACTCCTATTAGAACGCATTTTAATATGTAACCACACTTTTTATAATTGTACTACAAGGAAAAAAATGTAGTTTAAATCAACTTAAGATATTTTGGTTCTTTCGGTGAAGTCACGTAAAAGGTAAATAATAAAATAATTAAATTTTAACAATACAATTCTCACGACGTTTCGATTGCAACAAGCAATCATCAGGTGTAAAAACCACATCAAGAAAATTGATTGTGTTGCAATCGAAACGTCGTGAGAATTTTTTATTTTTTTTATTTTCCCTTCTACCTGCCTTTAGAACCAATAATATTAATCCCTGCATTCACGAAAGCTGTAAATCGATTTCAACTAAAGATAATTAAGACATTACAAACACTTCAAATTGCCTCAGTTTCCAAATCCTCTTGAAATGACGGTTGAGCCAAGGAATGCATCAAGTGGATTTTAAGCGAGAATTTAAACGGTTGCAGGTGAAGTATTCACAATGCTGCCGGATGGAAGGAATTACGTTTGAAGCAGACCTATATCCTTGGTCACATTGCCACAATAAATCAAGACGGCCATGCAGCAACATGTCCCAAAGGCCATCTGCTCAGTCTCATACTTGGTACGTTTGAGGGAAACATGCAGTCACACACGAGACTGAGGGAAAGTGTGAAACGTCTAAATCTTGACTTAAAGCCTTTGTGCCTGCAGGAATTGGGTCTTTCGGTAAAGCCACGTAAATAGAAAAATGATAAAAAAAAATAGCCGGCCACGCCAGAGTGGTTATTAGCAGGGTGCGGACAGAGCTGGGCTGTTCTGCTAGGTCAACTCTGGGATGAAGCCACATCTTTACTCAATATGAATTCCTGCAGTCACGAAAGCTTTCTTTGGGTCAGCTAACAATGTTGTTTTAACTTCAGATGAACGTGCCCAAATTGTCAAAAATATGAATTTGTCAATGTTCACGCTCACCAATGACACCTGCACACGGCATACATTTGGAAGTCCCGATTTGGCAGGAAGCACCATTAGTCCACCTTCCATGGCAAGCACCTTTGGTTGCAGAGGTGGCTCTACAATGTTGTGGTTATGATAAGTTGTGGGAACGTTGCTCTTCCAGTTTGTTGGAAATATTTGGCGTTGTGGTTGAAAAATAATCACTAAACACGTGGTGTTCCTACAACGATTGTTAATGCATCTATGTTCAGGATAGGTTACCTTGGTTTAAAACCACAAAGAATCCTCATACAATGCAAATATTTATTCTACGAAAATGCAAAGGGAGTGCCAATTGGATGTACAAACTAGAATCGGGCAGCCCATCCTACCAATTACTTGGTCACAACTTTTTAAATCTTTCAGTTATAAAGCCACAACTCCAAGCAAGAAACCATTCCTGGCACGTTCAACGACTATTGATGGTAGTCTATTGCAGTAGTAATACAGGGAGACCACTGCAGTAGTTTATACACACACACAATACAAAGCCACCAGCCCACCACGTTAATGCAACCATCAGGTTTATTTCATAGTACGCGTATCATACAGCCGCGTTACTCTTTGAATGCGGTGAGCGCGTGGGTCCTGCCATTCCGCTCGTGGTGCGCTCGGAAGTTGGGGTGGCAGCAGAACTTCAAGGCCGCGATCGTGATCACGAACTCGAGGAAGTCGACTTGCCCATCTTTGTCATCGCCAAGGTCCCGCAGGATGCGGCTCACCACGAACCCATCCACGGGATTCTGAAATGGAATCACGACAGCAAGAGTTAGGAGACACGGACTGGACCTAGGTGACAGACTGAGGAACACATGTGAAATCTACAGCGATTAAAAAACTCGTGATAGCGTGGCTCAACGCTAACACAGCCGGTTTCCGTGCAAGACACGGATTTGCTTCGGTTACCAAGCAAAGGGTTAAAACCCTCGCATTTTGGGATATTCT